CTGGCTTAAATCACTGGCTAATGCATCCATATCCAGAAACGAGCTCATTTGTAAATTTAGAGACATTGGGAAGAACATTTCTGAGTCATTAAGAAATAAATCACTGAGGTGTCCCGTGGCTCCAGACACATCATTTTCTTTGGACACGAAGGAAACATACTAAAGATTATAAACAGCAATTGTTCTAATAAACAAAATCATAAGTAGCTGTTGTTAGGTGCCATTGTGTCAGCCCCGACTCGTAGCAACAAAAGGAAACACTGCCCGTTCCTGTGCCAGCCTCACAATCGTTCTTATGCTTGAGCCCTTTGTGACAGCCCCGGTGTCACTCCACCTCTGCATGGGATCCCCTTTCTCCCCCTGCCCTTCTACTTTACCAAACATAATGGCCTTTTCCAGGGGCCCATCTCTCTGGATAACATGTCAAAGTACATGAGACAAAGTCTCACCATCCATGCTTCTAAGGAGCATTCTGGCTATCCTTCTTCCAAAACAGATTGTTCATTCTTTTGGCTGGTATATTACTTTCAATATTCTCCACCAACCACATGACTCAAATGCATCGATTCTTCAGCCTTCCCATGCACCACCCAACTGTCACATGCTATGAGGCGACGGAACGTACCATGGAATGGGCCAGGCGCACCACCGTCCTCAAGGCGACATCTTGCTCTTCCACATTTTTAAAGAGGTCTTGTGCAGCAGACCGCTTTTGATCTTGACTGTTGCTTCCATGAGCATTAGAAATTAGTTTTCAGTGTCTAAGCAGGTGTGCTTAGAAAGGGATGTTTTCCTGAACATGTGCCAATGAGTACCCATTTCCAGCCAGCCAGCCACCCACCCACAGAAGCACTATCACAGAGGTGGGTTGAATGTCACTTGGGTGATAACATTCTCAAGAAGGGCACCCAGTATCACATGGCAATGTGTATGAACTGCGCCTGTGCCCCTGACCAGTCACTGCTGTGTCAGGTCACATGTACAAGGCCACTATTCCGTTGGTCACACTGCCATCACGTTCAATGGAAAAGCCATCCCATGTGGGAGGGGCTGACCAGATAGGAGGTGACTCATGTAAACTTGTACTCATTTCTGATAGCCTTATATACGTGCAGGCAGTTACATAATCTCCTGTCAACTTGTGAAGGGGTGGAGTCTAGCCTGTCAATCAGGTCATAGCCATAGAGGCCTCTGTATGGAATTCTGAGAACTCCTATCGTCTTCCCAGGAGGCAGGAAGCGCACTCTCTCTGCTTGACATTCTGTTGACAAGCCACGTGGAGACAGGCTGATGGAGCCAAAGCCTTGGAGCTGGAGTAGCACGTGGAGGGAGACCCATGCCAGTGCTAAGACGCTTCCACCTCCACTGGATCCACAAGACTTTCCACCCACTGGCTTGTGATCTTCCTGCATTCAGCATCATTGCATGTGTTGCATAAGTCTGAAGAGGAATTTATGACTGATATCGGACATATGGGCTAATTTTGGATTTATGGACTTGATCTGAACTGGGCTGGAATGTTTTCTCAATATACAATTGCTCTTTTATATAAAGTTCTTTCTTATACACATATGAGTCTTCATGGATTTGTTTCTTTACTCTACCCGGACTAAAACAACGTGTCTAAATTTAAACCATTAGCAACAAACTCAGAAACCAAGCTGGAAAGTTAGTTCCCGTGAGCACTCCTCAAACAGATGAAGCCAGCCAC